GAGGTTATAAACAAAAATAGATTATGAAGATAATTTCTTCCTATTATAATTATGAATTACCTATAATATATAGGATTCGTTTTTTTTTACCGTTACTGCATATAAGTTATCTGCAGTAAGCATAATACGATGTCGTTTTGCGACAGAAATCATGGTATTTTTATAATTTTAATTTATTTCAGGGTTATTATAATCTATAAGATTATAATTATTTGATTTTTCAATCTCAAAATGATTTTATTTTAAAAATAAATATATATAATTTATCTGCAATAACTACAAAAATATTATTCGGTAATATATAATGTTAATTTACTGCATGAAAAATCTCTTTTCGTACGACATGAAAAGTTGGATACCATTGAATTTTAGGATTGTCAGTTTGGAGTTTTCTCATCCTTGATTCCTTGTAGTTCCCGAATAAACTACGTCTCCTAGGATTTGACATAAAATCAATTTAACTTTGTACCAAAGATTTTTGTAATGATGGCAAAAATAAGTGTATTCTTTAAAATGAGTCAATTTTTAAAATGAGTGTATTTCTAAGAGGAAAGTTATTTTCACTACTAAAATTTTTCATTATCAACTTACTACCTATCTAATTACCATTAGATTAATATTTTTTCTCTCTTCAAAAACTTTTTAATATTCTCTCTCTTTGATCCAATGGTGACGTGATGGGTAGTAAGTTAACAGTAAGAATTTTTGGTAGTTAGAATATCCTTACTCTATTTCTAATATGGGAAGTATTATTCTTACAAAAAATTTTATTTATAATCTCTTATAATTTATTTTTTTATTATTAATTTTTGTCAATCTAATAGTTATAATTTATTGGATCATATTTATTATTTAATTATTAATTTCTAATAAATTATAATCATCAGTTTGACAGAAATCAACAATAAAAAATAAATTGTAAGAGTTTGTAAAACATTTAAGTTATAAGAATAACACTTCTCTTTTAAAATTAGTAAAAACAATATATTCATTTTTTAAATTTTAAAAATTAATATTGCAATACACTTTAAATAAAATAAAGTATATATTATTTTATTTATTTTAAAACTTAGCCATTTTATATAAAGGATTATTTTACTTTTTAAAATTGATATAATATTATTTCCAACACTCGCGTAAAAATGAATATTACTCATATTTTATCTTTTTTTCATAGAACCTCATCTACCTTCATGTAGTTGTAGGACATAAAATCATCTTCATCTTACAGAGAAAAAAAATTAATTATTCCCTTTATATAATCCTTATAAAAATGGCAAATTATATTCACTTATCTTTTAACTCTTTCCAAAAGAGAAATTATTATTATGTTCAATAGAAAAGGACTGTCCATTAAAATTAAGTTTTCATATTTAAACAGGTAAATAGTTATTTTATTTAAAAAAATTATTTTTTTATTTCGAAATTAATCAAAAGCAGCCTAAAAAGTTAAAAGTTCTGCTATCTGAACCGCTAGGGGAAAAAAAGGAAAGAAAAGTTAAGAAAATGATGGTTTGTCCTATTTATTTTTCTTGATAGTTATGGTTTGTCCTTTTAACTTTTGTAAGATTCCACTTTGTTTCAATAAAATGACAGGCAATTAAGAATTTATTATCGTAACTTATAAAGGAAACAAGTGAAATCATGATTTCATCAGTCATAGAGAGGTCGACCTTTGAGCTACAGTCCATTTATCAACTAAACTGTTGAATGTTTTGATTTTAATCTTGTAACTAAGCAACAATTTTTTTAAATTTTTATCCAGATTTGTACTCATAAGCCATAATAAAATACTAATAAAATAATTGTCTGTTTGTTTAAAAAAAATTATATCGAAATATAATTATTTTTTTTCTGTCAAGTTCCAAAATTAAAGATACATAACAACTATTCATTAACTTGTCTATCTGCTTTTTTCGTAGAGAACTTAGCTTTAAAAAAAATATCGTATATTTATGACCCTATGTCACTGTTAGTGTCAGTCTCAGAATAGTGATTATTTTGTCACACTTCAACAAATTATTTATCAGACTACTACGCTAACAGTAAAAATTCTCAGAATGTCATGCGATATAATTCGCTACACTGTGCAGCGCAATATATTTGCAAATAATTCGCTACAAAGTGTAACGAATTATGCCATGTCATGATGCATAGTCAACAAAAATGACATGTGTCAAGCAAGCAGTAATACAAGCATAATTCGCTACACAGTATAGTGAATTATTTGCAAACATATTTCGCTGCACAGTGTAGCAAATTATACCACGTAACATTCCGAGAATTTTTACTGTTAACATGACAGTCTGGTAAATAATTTGACCAGACGTAACAAAATGATCACTGTTCTGTCAGTCACAGTGGCCTGCTGTCGTTGGTAATACAATACAAACAGGCTAATAAATATTATTAGTGATAATTATAATTTGACTATTTATGTTCTTCGTTGACTTGTGTTGATTTCATTAAAAATGATAAAATTAAGAAAAAAACACATACAAGCAACTGAATACATTAATTAATTAATAAATGATATATTATCATAGGGCTATGTTTGTATCATGCTGCAACAAACAACCACAATTTTCTTGCAGACTAAACAAGGAAGAGAGAGAACGTGAGATGACAAAAGCAAAAAAAAAAATTGTGGCCCCCACGATTTAATTGTATCTGTGCAGCAGCTACAGTAACTTTCCAGCAACATTATTTTTACATTTTCCATTATCATATGACATGAATTTTTTTTATTTTTTTTGATAACATATGACATGAAATTTTACATAATTATTTAGTAGTTTACTTCAATACTTTCTCTCCATAATTGTTTTATATAATAATTTAATAATCTATTTCGATACTCCTTTCCAAAAGAATATCATATTACTTTTTTACGATTATATACAGAGTAATAAAAATATGTAACTTTAATGAGTCTGTAACTTTTCTAAATTTGTAAATTGTATTATTTAATTTTTATTTATTTATTTTTAACAATTATAATTTATAAAAAGTATTTCAGTATATCATTTTTTTAAGGAATTACCGAAAGGAACCATAATAGTTTATGTTTGATAAATAATTTACTTACAATTAATGAGATTCACTTCGGTATTCTACCAAAAAAAACTGTATTACTTTTTTAAAATTATAAAGTAATAAAAATTACAGAACGATTAATAAAAGTTTAAATCTTTATAAACTTATAATTTTAATAAAAAATTATAATATATATATATATATACATATGTTAGAAAATTATATTTCTTAATGTGTTTGTGGGCTACATATTATATAAATAATTATATTATGCTCTTTAATATAGATTTTAATGTTTTTACGGTCAATGTAGATAGGTTATGTACATCCGCTCTCAAAACGACGTTATTTTAGATTGAAAAATTATAAAATTATAATGAAAAAGATAATTATAACTAAAAAATAAATTATAATTATAAAAATACTTTGATTTTTGCCTTAAAACAACGTCGTTTTTGGACAAATGGATGAATATCAATGTAGATAAATTATCTATATTGACCGTAAAAAAAGCAAACACTTTAATATATATTTGGTAAATTAAAGTGATCAAATAAAGATGCCCAAATAGATTCCTAAGTAAGTGTGGGACAAATGGATGGATACAAACGTTGGATCAACTAGGTATAATAGGAGTTTACTAGCCTAACAATAAAAAAATACTATAAAGAGTTATGGTCCCCAATATGTCAAATTATAACAACCCTAGTTTCTCTTTCTCATCAAAAGAGAGATAACACACTAAAGAATAAAGATTAGGATTATTTGACTGAGGAAGATCGTATACCCCAATAGTGAAGACCGAAGTTATTCCGCTGCTATGGAGGCAGGTATGCCCCCATCTTTCTGTTAATATTCTTTTATGATTTAGTATGATGGATCTTAGTTTGTTGGTGATAGTTATCACCATAAGGTTAAGAGGAATTATTATTCCAGCAATATTTTCTTTTATCTCCTATTAATCTTTGTTTATTAAACAAGATTCGCTCTAAATTTGTTTTGTTTATTTTTTTTTCATTTTTTTCGTTTTCTTTCTCGTTATTAATATAACGACTGTGGTCCAAAAATAACTTTTTTTATTTATTATACCGACCAGAATCCAAAGGCTAAATGAATATTAGTTGAAATCGTGGTCCCTCACAAATTTAAAAAAGACCTATATTATTCCTTCAAAAGGACTAAAATGGGTCCACATTGAATTTCTTAGGGACCACGAATAACCTTTTTATTTGCTAGGGACTAAAGCGACCATCGTAAAATTTGCTGAGGACCAAAAATGATATTTACTCTTAAACTAGTTTCAAGTTTGTGCCTCTTTACCCTTCTTAGGATTTGCAAATCATGTAGTTTAAATCCCATAGCCTAAATGTGTTTAGAGATGACAATATGAGTTGTCCCGTCTCGCCCTTCCACTCCAAAAACGGAGTGGGGCGGGTCGACTTGCCTTTGAATATGGGTTGAAAAAAATGAACCACCCCATTTTATAATGGGTTGATGGGTCAACCCACCAATTTAAAAAAAAATTAAAATTTTAAAATAAATTATAATTTGTGAATTTTATAATTTTATTTCACATTTCTCTTAATTTTTTTCAATCTCAATCTTACATGTATACTAATATTTAGTTAAATATTCGTTAAGAACTTAGTTGTTTCCATATATAAATAACACTAGTGAATTACCCGTGCCGATGCACGAGAAAAAAAATTGGTTTGTTTGACATGGTGGGTCGGCCCTCCGGGCCGAACTCATTTTGTCAGTATTTCAAAGGTCCCAAACAGTCATTTTTTTAAATAACAAAACAGTCATTCATTGTTACATTAAAAATAGGAAAGAAAATAGGATAATAAAGGTCATATCTTTGAAGATAGATAAGGAAAAGAGACGCGAATAAACAGTCATTTTTTTTGTCTTTACCTGTACCATACAACGAAGTTATATCTTTCAAGAAAGAACCCAATATACTATAGCAGTCTTTGAAATACTTCCTTGTAAACTATATTAAGGCTACTATTCGTAACGCAGCAATTTTCATCAAGTATCAATATCTTCAATCCATGCTTACTCTTTACTCTAGACAGTGCCACATATAATTGCCCATGAGTGAAGACAGGCTTAGGGAGATAAATTGCAACATGTGAAAGTGATTGTCCTTGACTCTTGTTGATAGTCATGGCAAACGATACAATCAGGGAGAATTGTCTTCTTTGGAAATTTACAGGAAATGTATGACTCGATGGGCTCATCGTCATTCTAGGGATTAACACAGTTTCCCCTATATTGCTTCCTGTAAGTACAATTGCCTCAACAACATGATTCCCTAATTTTGTAATAAGCAATCTCGTGCCATTGCATAAACCTCTCGACTGATCAATATTTCTTAATAGCATTACTGGAACTTTAACTTTCAAGATTAATTTATTATCAGGAATCCCTGAGCATGATAATGTATTTAAGATCTCAGGGGTGATTTCATCATCCTCAACAGAGGAAGTCCCACCTTGCCTAAGAATTTTATCTGAACTCAAAAAAGTCCTTTCTTCACCAGGAATCATAGACATTAGGTGCTCGTTTAGCATAGCAACATCGGACAATTTAGGAGTTAGAATAGCACGTTCTTTAAAGAAAATCTGATCCAAAATATTATCCAAGAGATTCGGATAAACAAAATTAACCATATCCGACAGCGGATCTTCCGATTCTCTAATCAACAATTCATCTGGAATTGTTATAATAGATTCTCTATCAACATCATCTCCAAGATTACCATCCCCAACTTTAAGTAGCCACTCAGAAAATTCTTTTATTTCCTCTAAATTGTGAGCGCTACTTCCAGAATTAAGACGCATGTTCTTGGTCAAAGTTAATAAATGACAATAGGACCATAGATGAGAAGAATTGATGGTTGCATGAACTATATCTTGTCTGCTGCCATGAGGAATGACAGGTAATATTTGCCGAAAGTCACCTCCTAGAACAACAACTTTTCCACCAAATGGCATATCAACACAGCTTGTATCAGAAATTCTAAGAACATCTCTCAGTGTCCTATCCAGAGCCTAAAAGCAAAATCTATGTACCATTGGAGCTTCATCCCAAATGATTAGCTTTGTTTTTGACAGCAACTCAGCTATAGTAGATTTCGGCCTTATATTACACGTTGAATCTTCATTGATTTGAATAGGAATACGAAATCTAGAATGCGTTGTTCGTCCTCCAGGAAGCAGAAGGGAAGCAATTCCGCTAGAAGCAACATTAAGTACGATTCCAGCTTTTGATCTAATAGATGCTGAAAGAGTATTCCAAATAAATGTTTTTCCTGTACCATCGAACTCGTATGGGAAAAATAACCCTCCATTACCTGCCGTAACTGCTGAAACAATTTTATCATAAACAGCTTTTTGCTCATCAGTGAGGGAATTAATTAGTCTTTTATGCTCCTCTTCCAAAGCAAATCTGTCATACATTAATTCATCCAACACTAATCGATTTTGCATATCAAGCAAAGTTTCACTATTGATGCGTGGCATTGACGGATAATCAGAGAGGCATTTCCCATTGCTCTGCAGTACCTTATCAATTTCTTCAAGAGTTATGTTTTTTATAGACTCTTCTGTAAGAATTGCATCTGACAAAGCATAAAATTCAAAGGGAAAAAAATTAAAAAATTAACAAAGATAAAGTAATCAAAGAAAGAAAAGAGAGCGAAATAAGTACTAAAGCATCATTTGCTGAATGCGGGGAAAAAAAAAACAAAATAAGCACTAAAGCAACATTTGCTGAATACGGGCAAAAAAGCTAATAAGTACTAAGGCAGCATATGCTGATTTCGGTTAAAAAAAAAAAAATTGTATGAAATATTATTATAACACGTACCTTGACGTCCTATTCTTTTCCTATGCCGATAAACAACGTCGTCGGATAAAAATTTCCAACACTCTTCCCAAACTTTTTCAGGTCTGTTCATTGCGTTGGCAAATAACAACAGAGCAAACAGACATCTAAGATAAGCAGCAGATCCCCAGGAACTTGCCTCCTTAATTGCATCAATGTACTCATTGTCATCATCCAGAAGTCCTAAAGAATAGCACACATCCTTAAATGTAGGAAAAACCACGCCATTGATCGTTCTAAGATCTTCATAACTGGTGCAACCTCTTTGAAAATTAAGCAAGGTGCGAAGATATGAATCTTCTCCATTATTGGCAGAAAAACGATTTATCCTTCCAATGGAAAATCCTTTTTTTCTCGGATTCCATTCATGCGTTTTTTCTTTGAAAACAAATTCAGTCGGGTACTCTCCATAAGTTAGATGCCTACCTTCTGGATATTTTTTATTTGCATCCATCCAAGACTCAAAAATTGACAGTCTAGACTCCGCCCTTGTCTTTACATCATACAACGAATCATTATCACTGAAAATAATGTTCTTTTCATTAGGCAAGTGAAATGGCAATCTCTGAACAGGGGGATATCTCGAATGAATGTCAAATCCAAATATTCTCCAAGCTGCTTCACATGCGGAGACATACCTATCATAAATAAATAAATCGGTGAACATTTAAGTTAATAATTTCTCAAAAAAATTGTGCCAATTTTGTAGGAAAGCAAAACACAATGGAGATTATTTTTAGTACCTGCAGTCATAAAACATTTTTATTTCATCGTCCGAATGATTTATGGCAGCTGTCACTCTGTCATTCCCTTTGTGGATGTATTTAAAAAGATATTTAATGGCACTTCTCTGGCAAGTATATTCAACGTTGATATGAGCCTGGTACTTTAAAAGAAGGTGTGCATTATAGGGCACAACATAACGATTATCAAGTTCAACACCATTTTTGTTCACAACTCTCCCATCATTTCTTCTCTTATAATGAGGAAATCCATCATCGTCAATCAAAGTACGGGAGCAGAAGTTTTTTGGAAATTTTTTTGAACACCGTCCGTCCTTCATGCAAGGAGATTTGTAATTTTCAGGACCACATGGACCATGTATCATGTAACTCGTGACAGCCATAAACAGCGTAGGATTCGTTTCCTTGTCAGGTATCTCCGCTGAAATCAATTTATTAATATCAAGAGCACTTTCAGCTTTGCTTGAAGGGTTTAAGAATAGAAGAATATGAGCATGAGGTAGTCCGCGCTTTTGGAATTCGATTGTACAAACATCTGTTACATTCAAAGAATATAACATAAGTAATAATAAGAATACAACAACGTTATAGAAAGATTCAATGCATGACGTAAATTTTTTTGTATAAAATCCAGTTAACAAAAAGAGTATCAAGTTTATAATATACTTACATGCAATGACTCTGCCAAGAATATTTTCCTTTTTTAAATCATGTAGCAACTGGTCCAATTTGAACTTGAAGACTCTGCATAGAATATCAGGCCGATCTTCAGGGTTCAGCTGTCTGGCCCTAACAAATCGTGTAATTTCTGCCACTTAGGATTGCAGGTAATTGTTATAAAAAGATGAGGATATCCAGCCCAACGGCAAATTGCGAAAGCATCTTTACAATTTTCAGCCATATATCTAGGTCCGCCTGTGAATGAAGAAGGTATAATGATACGTTTTCCAGTGCTCAGTGCTGCATCTTCACCGCTATCTAATGAATGTTTTATATTTTTGTACAACTCAGCTCTCAGATGACTCTGGTTATATCGAATGAAATTAAGCCGTTCAAACTCAATCATAGTGTATGCATCAACCAGAAATTGTTGGAAAAGTTTCCTTGATCGATGTAGAATTTCTGATTCTCCAGATCGCATCTGAAGTCTAAACGAAAAAAATTCCTTCATGCTGATCATGGCTCTTGCATTTTTCCTACCACTGGATACAGTACGCTGGACATCATCACGATAACCGTCTTCACCGTATGGAAATAACAATGGATACTGCAAGCCAAGATATAATGGATGCTTCACATCGATGCGCTGCAATACTCTATCTTGTGTTTCAATAATGATATCCCTATCGCCCATAGCACTGTCTATATCTCCAACAATCAAAGCTGCCACTTCGGATGCTGTCGGAAGATTATAAACTCTTCCATCACTACCACGCCTTCGAATAAGCCTCAACTTTACACCATTAAAGTCATCTTCCTTATAACGGTCTCTAGCGTACCTGAAAGACTGAGCTATACTGTTGTGCTTATCGAACATCTCCTTCAATAATCGGATAATTTCAGGATCAAGCATATCTTCAGTACTGGTGGAACTGCAAATTTAATAAATAAAAAAATTGTCATTCATATTACTCAACATAAAAAGATACTCCACATATGAAACATGAGAATTGGGTCAAAAAAAAATATACCTTAGACAACCAAGTCTGTTGTCCACTTCATGCTCAGTGTCGTAAATATAAAGTTGAGCAAATTTTGGAGACTGACTATCAGCAGGCAGAAGACTGCCAATTAAATGATGAACTCTCCCCCCAACTCTAAAACAGTAAGGGCCAGAACCTTGATTTACTGATCCATCCACTTTTGCTCCAAAGGAGGTGAAGGAAAAAATCATATTGTACGCTCTAATATTTCGCAAAAAATGGCGGCTCGTCATATTGGAATTAGCATGCAATTGAAGCAATGTATCCGGAGCAGTTTTTAACAAAGGAAGTTGAACTTTTCCATTGACACAGCACAATCCAAATTGCGGCATACTTGGGTTACGATCCCTCTTAGTTCTTTCTGCATACCACATTTGTGCTCCACAATGCTCGCAAACAAAAGTAGGATCCCCTGCGTCCCAATAATCTAAACATATACAAATATTTTTAGATTGAAATAAGCTTGGTTGTCAGACAGGAAGTTTTTTATTTGTAATAGCAAATATATAATTTGAAATTATAATTAAGACCTCCATTGATATAAAACGTGTTTCGCACATTGAAATTGTTTATATAAATATCTATAATAGAAAGAAAAAATGATTGGAAAAAAAAGACATGTGAACACAATTTTTTTTTCATGTATTAGATGAACCAAATGAGCACCGTTTTCACCATAAATAGTAGACTATAAAAAAAATACTTTGTAAAAAACAAAAAAAACTACATTGGCACATTCGAATCATCTATATCCATAATTGTAACACAAAGGATAACAAATGGAAAACTAAAAAAAAAGAGGCCAACAGGAACAAAGAGTTGTGATTCAATATTTGAAAATTGAAAATTAATATAAAGACCTTGATGGATAGTAACACAAAGCAAAAATGTAACAAAAATAACAAAAGTTGCGTATTAAATCATTTGTGCTCACCATATTGGTATAAGTGCAGACAAATGTTCTCCAAGATGATCTGTAAAAAATATGGCACATTGGAATCATCCATATCCACATATATAAGGAAAACAAAGCAAAAATGTAACAAAAATAACAGAAAGATCATTTTAACACAAAATATGAAATAATAAAAGACATTCTAATATAAATAAATTTATTCCCAGCGCATTTAATTAAGCAAATGCGCACCAGTATAAGTCGTAAACAACTGTTCTTGAATATGCTATGTATAAAATCTGTGAGTATAACATTTATCATTCAGACATTTAATTTGCAATTAAACAATAGAAAATTGGAAATAATAAATTTAGAGAATAAACAACGCTCAAAATAATTAATTTACTATTATTTTTTTCCACATTCGTATAGAAGCATCGTGCTTGCATTTTAAAAATCCAATACAAACAGTGACAGGTGTTTAAACTCACTTTGTTGATCCAAATCAGCTGAAGTCGTACTTGTACCGTTATCATATGGGGAACTACATTGTATGTCACAGATAAAAAAAAAGGCTTTAATGAATTTATATGACGTCAACAAGGTGCATGTAAAAATATTTAATTACAACATAGTGTTCCCAAAAAAGTATTCACAGGTATAATGATACCGTGATATATAGTTTTCATCAGTAACGGTTGAAAGCACTGAATTCTCACTGTTCACATCAATCCCTATATGAAAATTCCAATTAAATAATATAGTCGAAATAATGGTAAGTGAAAAAATAGTTAATACATTACATATATTATCCTCTTATAATTCACGGTTGTAAGTACCTCAGGTCGTCAAGCTCCAACACCACCATTTTTGTCTTCCTACCAGAAACCACACGATCACAAACTTTCCCAATTCCTGAGATTAAACCAATGACGTCTACAAAAAAAAACGCAGCAAAGAGTTTGTGAAAAAAATTATGCAATAATAAAAAACGAATACAGAAACATAAAAAACACAGTTAATGAAAAAAATAATGATACAGAATAAGATTACTCGTGACAAAACATTAAAAACACAAAACTATAACCGCAAAGAGTTTAAAAATAAGGAAATAGTCATGATACAGAATAAACCAATGACGTTTAAAAATTAAAAAAAGGCAGCAAAGAGTATGGGAAAAAAATAAAACCCGCAATAATTAAAAAAAGGATAACAGTGAGGAAGAATCTATTACCGACTAAATAAGGGGAGTCACACGTTTCTTTCTCAATGATGTTATAATCAACAAAATTAAAATCACTCGCACAAATATCAGAAACAACAATCGATTTAACATCAGTCCTCAAATTGAAAGACAAACGATACTGATGCTTGGTTGGCCTAAACACATCGCTATTGAATCCAACACCAAAATTTTCTATAAAATAGCACTCTCCTTCGTTGATTTTATTCCGCACCTGCAAGGTACCTTTGACAGTGGCGTGGATCCTACCACCCTACAAAAGAATGGAGCCAACTTATGTCAACAACGTTAACTAAAATGATCAAAACAAAGATAGAAGATTTTTAAAACACAGAACACAACTTGTTCATCCAATAAAACCATTTCAAGATTGTACTCCAAATTTTTACGCTGAAAGTTAGGAACTTTCAAAGTCCGAACCACCTTCACCTTAATCCTCCAGTCCTCCTTGGCAGGATTAACATCCTTCAGAAAATCATATTTTGAACTCATATTTTGTGTAAGAAGAAAAAATAGAGAAGCAATCACCGACGTTGAAGAATAATGCGTATCAGGATTTGTATAAATGAGAGTGATTTATAGTTTTTGAATTGTCTTCTTTAAAAAATGTGAAGTTTTTGAATTAAACTGAATAAAGATTTAAAAAACAAAGATAACGACAAAAGAGTGATTCAGTAGTTATAAATGAGATTTTAATGGAATAAAACAGTCATTTGTTTTAATAACAATGAATATCCCATTTTTTTTTCAAAAAACGTAAAGATTTGAATTAAACTGAATAAAGGTTAAAAAGAACGATTAGATTACATGATAACCATCAATTATTTAAAAAACAAAGATGACGACAAAAGAGTGATTCAGTAGTTATAAATGAGATTTTCATGGAATAAAACAGAAGTTTTTTCTAATAACAAAACACTCATACCTAATTCCACTGAATCAAGAGGTTAATAAAAGATTCAAATTTAAAAATCTGAAAATAAGGAACAAAGGTCGGGATATGTATAATTTTTATTTTTTTTACTAATTAATTTTTTTTCGAGTAAATAGAATTGTATTCTTTAAAAAATGTGAAGTTTTTGAATTAAACTGAATAAAGATTTAAAAATAAAGATAACGACAAAGAGTGATTTAGTAGTTATAAATCAATGAATATCCCATTTTTTTAACAGTCATTTCATGGAATAAAACAGTCATTTGTTTTAATAACAATGAATATCCTTTTTTTTTCAAAAAACGTAAAGATTTGAATTAAACTGAATAAAGGTTAAAAAAATGATTACATAACATGATCAACATCAATTATTTAAAAAACAAAGATGACGACAAAAGAGTGATTCAGTAGTTATAAATGAGATTTTCATGGAATAAAACAGTCATTTGTTTTAATAACAATGAATATTCCATTTTTTTTCAAAAAATGTAAAGATTTGAATTAAACTGAATAAAGGTTAAAAAAAAACGATTAGATTACATGATCAACATCAATTATTTAAAAAACAAAGATGACGACAAAAAGTGATTTAGTAGTTATAAATCAATGAATAAGCAATCTTGACCATTGATTTAAAGTAACAAATCCTGTCAATTGAAAATATAATTCTTTTTTGTATTTATTATATTCACCGATTTACCATTAAAGGAAACTTTTTTAAATGTTGTAGTGTGAACACATTGGTGAAATTGAATCACAGTGCGACACGTCAGCAAGGTTTCCACATAATGAAATTCCTTTATAATATAAGATTCCTTTATAATATAAGATGCGAAAACTACATAAATATGAATCATTTTTAAATGTGACATTATTAGAAAAGTCTCAAATATCGACATAATTTATCGACGAAAAATATTCATAAAAAATAATGATAAATTTTTTTATGAAATTCATATACGTCAAAAAATTCTCGTCAAAACTAAAGACGAAACCAGATTTTGCAATAATCACTGACATAAATTTTTAACGGAAAAAAAACTTCAGTCAAAATTATTTATAGAATCTAAATTCCGTCGAAATATGCAACGAAAATATTTTCGTCCAAAATTTGGACGAAACACATTTTCGTCAAAAAGTTTCAACGTAAAACGATTATGTCAAAAAAATTTACGCAAAATATTTCTATCCAAATTTTCCGCAAAAATTTTCGACGAAAAATATTTCTATCAAAACTTGTGACGAAAAAAGTTCAGTAAAAAATTTCGATGAAATTTTTTTTTGTCAACATTTTTTAGGGAATCTATATTTCGTCAAAAAATTTTCCTCAAAATATTTCACAAAAAAAATATTCATCAAAATTTTTGACGAAAATATTTCCATAAAATTTTTTCAACGAAACACATTTCCATCGAAGTTTTTGAAGGAAACAATTTCGTTAATTTTTTTGGCAAAAAAAATTTCCGTAGGAATTTTTAACGAAATATATTTCCATCAAAAAATTTTGACGAAAAATTTCTCCGTCAAGTTTTTTTGATAAAAAAACATTTCCGTCAAAATTTTCAATGGAACATATTTCTGTCAAAAAATTTTGACAGAAAATATTATTCGTAACAATTTTTGACGAAAAATATGTCGATAAAAAATTTTGACAGAAAAAATATTCTTTCAAAATTCTTTACAGAATCTAAATTTCGTTGAAAGTTTTGAATGAAACATTTCTCTCAAAAATTTTGAGAAAACAATTTCCGTCGAAATTTTTGTCAAAACATATTTCCATCGAAATTTTGAACAGAAAACATTATGTCAAAATTTTTGATGGAATTTTTTTTTCGTCTAAAACATTTGATGGAGGATATCATTTTCGTCAAAACTTTTGACGAAAACTAAATTACGTCGACAATTTGGATAGAAAATTTACTTTTGCAAAAATTTTCATTAGAGAAAAAATTCCCTTTATTAATATCACAAATAAAGCAGAACGCAAATAAAAACTAAACAAATTGGATGAAGCTTTTATTTACAAGACATGCGTAATTTACAACTGAATAAATAAAGTCAATACTTTTGCCAAATTGATTCTATAGATTAGCATGAAGCTATCAAGGACAAATTTCAACAAAAAATCATAAGTAACATATTGAAAATGATAATAGGTTTCAAAATAGGGATAAAAGTGTACTTATCTGAGATGAGCCGAGCTTTGTCTCGAAAAGCCTAAGTTTATGCCTATTAGCGTAGCTTAGTTAGTATGAATCATAATTTACTGTATTGTAGTAAATTGCTCTTGTTACTGCTATCATAGCATATTATTTCCCTTCACTAGTCAATTAGTTTGTTTTACTTTCTGTTACTTAATCAGTTAGATTGTTGCCTCATCAATGAGCCAGTCTTCGTTTACACAGTGTATTACTAATTCTCTCAGATTCATTAATAAAATGATTTCTCTGCAATTCCTTCTCTCAACTCTCTCTCACTTTCTTGCTTTTTCTTGAGTTTACCTACAATGGAACTATTCTAATAATGTCAAAAAATTTCAATGGACACTAGAATGATGAGCAGAAAAGATATAGAATCAGTAATAGAGTATTAGAGAAGGGAAGATTACAATCTTATGCTTATGAAAATTATTAGAAACAATGAAGATAAGCCATGGGATGAAGGGTTACACAGAAATAATATAAATTCTCAGACCATAGGATAAAGGGTTACACAGAAACCATGCGTAATTATTTCCCTTTCCATGTCGTCACGCGTAAGATATTTCTCTTTTCTTGTCGTCATACAACAATGACTTATATTCTAAATCCATCATTCAATAATAACTATCCTTCGTTGGCGTCATGCGTAAGATATTTCCATAAAAATATATAATCTGGTTTAGGTTCTGAATGTGATTTAGGTTCTGAATGTGATTTAGGTTCCCCGGTTATTTTCACACCCTTAACTGTACCTTATGTTCAGAGAAAATTGTTGAGAAGGTTGTACAAATTTTGGTGATGATGCAAAAAAAAAAAAAGTGGTAGAGAAAATTTGGAGACAATTGTTCAGTGTGGTAGTATGAATATGGATGCATTCAGTGGAATGGGAATTGGAAGAAAGAATCTCTGAAGGCCTAGATCTTTGGCTTTGAGTGTGAATTGAGACCTTTAGTTTATCTTTGTATTAATGTCTTTTTGTTCTTGGTTTATCTTTTTGCGTTGCCATTTTCTTTCGTTCTCCAGTAGTGGAGTATGTTAGGAAGAATATGGAGTTTGTTAATGTTCTGTTTCTATTGTTATTGTGGATACTGTCACAACATGTATCTCCAAAGTATTATTGAGTAATAGATGTGTTTTTCTTTTTCATTTATTGTTAATTGACCGGGGTTTCATCATATTCCCACCAAGCTGCAACAAGCCGAGAGTAATAATATTGAAAGAGGGTGCAGACATACCCCATGCTCGAAAATTTCGTGTCATGGATGAGGATAAAAGGGTTCTGCAATTCCGAACAAAATGGAAATTACCTTTATTAATATCACAAATACAGCCGAACACATATAAAAACTAAACAAATTGGATGAAGCTTTTATTTACAAGACATGCGTAATTTACAACTGAATAAATGAAGTCAATACTTTTGACAAATCGATTCTATAGATTAGCATGAAGCTATCAAGGACAAATTTCAACAAAAAATCATATGTAACATATTAAAAATGAAAATAGGCTTCAAAATAGGGATGAAAGTGGACTGAGCTAAGCTGAGCCGAGCCGAGCTTTGTCTCGAAAAGCCCAAGTTTATGCCTAGTAGCAGAGCTTAGTTAGTATGAATCATTATTTACTGTGTTGTAGTAGATTACTCTTGCTACTGCTATCATAGAATATTACTTCCCTTCACTAGTCAGTTAGTTTGTTTCTCTTTCTGTTACTTAATCTGCATTAACTGCAGAAACATTTTTTTTTCATATATATATATATGGAAAAAATATTTCTACAGCCACTTTAGATAAGATTATCTGCAGTTACCCCAAAAACTACGTTGTTTTGATTAATGAATGGTGTTTTAGTAAAATATATATGATAAAAAAAAATTACGGAAACACCCTTCATTAATTCACTTAAAATTACAGAAACACCCTTGATTAATCAAAACGACGTGGTTTTTAGAGTAACTATAGATTACCTTATCTAAAGTTGCGGTATAAATATTTTTTCTTATATATATATATATATGGGTCAGGATCATTTTACACCAGTGTAAGTTACACTCTTAATCTTGTCCATTGATCCCACCTATATCTAAGGTGTCAAATTTTTTAGAAATGTGAACCATTGGATATAAGTGGATCAATGGTCAAGATTGAGTGTAAGACTTCTAACTCTTACACTAGTGTAAGAATATCCTACCCCTATATATATATATATATATGTGAGATAAGTTATTCTACCTACCCTTATTTTGCCTACCATTTTTAATACCGCTTGATTACAATCCTATCCAACGGTCAATATTTGTGATATAAAAAAAAATCAATTTTCCCCTTTCTTTCTCCTCACTTCCTCCCATACCCTTT